AATGCAAGATGTAATGGATTAACCAATTATAAACAAAAAAAATTTACATATCATATGAAAAAAAATATATATATAATACTAACAAACTTTCTTGATACATATTCTCTAAAATAAAGTATATATGTTTATTATTTCTCAATGACTTTTGAAATAAAATTTGAAATATAATATTGTATGATTTTAAAAAAAATTTATAACATAATACTATTTATTTCTCAATAAAATTAAAACATTAAATGTTCAATTCAAAAACTGAATTTAGTTTTATATTTTTAACAAAAGTAGAAGAGAAGGGAGTGTAATATCCTGGAACAAAGGGAGAGTGAAGAAAAAATGGAAAATGAATTATTTTCCAATTAACTTCTAAAGCTTCAGGTTTTTAACACAAGGTAGGCGGGTTTTATTTATTAACACTCTATTTATTAAAAATTATTAGTATTTTTTTTCAAAGAATCTAACATGACAAAAATGTATTTTGTTTTGTATTTTAAATACAAAAAATAGGTTCCTTTGTGTATTGTAGCAATTCTGATTGTTAGCATAATAATTCATGTTGTGAAAATGAGCTTAGAAATGTACCTAGTCCTGTCAAGGATATTGTTACAAGGAGATATATACAGGTTTCAACAGAAATATTAATTTTTTCATAACCTTTGTTAGAAAATAAAATGTATATCTATAGAGAGTAAAACAAAACAGAAATTACTCAAAATGTCCCCCTTTTGCCTTGACACAGGCATTTAATCTCCGTGGCCAGTCATCAATATTAGCATGCAGCACTTCTTTTCAGGTCTGTCACATACAGATAGAGTCTCATTATATCTATTTATTGTGCAGTACACAAACTACGGCTGATACCCAAAGGTTCCAAAATGTTGAAAATCTCAGACCTACATTTTTCAACTTTGTGGAAGGCAAACACAGCTATTTGGTTTTCTTTATCACCCCACTCCATGTTAACTGAGCGAAAGAAAAATACAAACTAATTGGGATTATTATCCTGACATGTAAAGAAAATAACCTCATAGAGGTAAGGATTATTTAATAATACTCAAGGATTGTAAACAGAGTTCAACTTTTGTAACAGTATTTATGGCAGAACAAGCTATTAAGGTTAATAATGTTAAATTTGTAATGCAATTAGCTTTGCCATAAAATTGATTAGCTTTTAAAAAATCTGGTGCGCGCAACACACAACTTTCACTTACCACTCTAGTTTGAATAGCAATTACTTTCTGGCAATGCTGGGCTATTATAAAATTTTTTAAAATGCATTTTAAACAGAGATAAACCTTAAAGCTAATAGATAACAAGTCATTAAGACCATTATAATTACAAAATGTCTATTTAATATAGCAACGGTAGGCAATAAAAATTTAGTCACTCCATCTGCTTTTATAAACCACACAACTTTCTTTGCTTTTATAAACCACAGAATGACTCCAATTTCAACATTTTTTAATAATGTCATTATAGTGATATTTTTAGTTGAAAAAGTTATCTATGCAGACAGTGAGTAAGTTGATTCCGGAGGTGGTGATTGCAGTGTTGAAATATAGAACAGTGAAAAAGGTATGAATTTAGGTACCTATTTCTTATGAAAGATACTTTATTAAATATCTGTAGAAAAAAGTTTTTTTTTAGTCTCAACAATTAAAAAAGTATATTTTAAATTTATCCAAATTTTCTCCTCTTCCGGGATAAAATCTGTTTTTACGGTATATTTTGAATTTTCATCTGAAAACAAAAAGATAAAATATCCTTTCAGATGACTTACTATTGGACATTAGCACATTTATACAACAAAACACATTATAACTATAAAAAAAATGAATATTAACCAGTCAACATTATGCACTGTATATAAAAAACTCTGCAAATTATTTTACAATAGTTTACTATTTTTCAATAACAATTATACATCTAAAGTATCATTACCTTTAAAGTTGAAAATTCCAATTATTGGACTAAACTTTTTTTTAATCATTAGTAATATGCTAAAACAAAATTCAAAAACAAAAACAAAAGATATAAGCTTTGAAGCTGAACATATTAAAAAAAAAAGCTACAGACCATATCTTTCCTCCTAATTGTCCGATTTTAACGAATTTTTTTTTGTTTTTTAGAAAATTCCTTAAACTTTTAAAAAAACATATAAAATATCAACAAAAAAGTGTATACTTTTTGGGTTATCCGGAATTTAATTTTACCATCCCTCGTAACTTTTTTTCCAGCTTCTTTTCGTTGAAGTTTATTATACAGGTAAATTTAAAGGGTGTCGAGAAAATGACTTACGCAAAGTTTCATTGAAATCGGTTCATTCGTTTAGGCGCTGCAGTCTATAGCAACGCATGTTTTTCTGCATTTTTATTTTTTTCTTCTTTATTAACTTATCAAATTCTTTCAAAAGTTATATTTAGCACTTTTTCGTAACTCTGAAGAATTTGAAATGATTAACATTATAATATAAACCATATTAAAGGTACTTTAGAGGAAGACGTATATGAACATTGGGCATTTAAGCCCTGTAAAGGGACATCAATGAGGATAAGACCTAATTGGTATTAAAGACTACTTCATTATACATTGATACACTGAGTTTAATCAAAATCGTTAGAGCCGTTTTTGAGAAAATTATAAAAATGTGTTTCAGCGTTGATATAAAGTGGCACTTCCGGTTAGCCGATTTTAAGGAAAAAGTTGCTGTCACATCTAAGGCATATACCTATCTTAAATACGTAATATCAGTTTCGTACGGCTTTTCGTTTTTGAGCTAGACTGCTAACATACAAACACACAGACACACAGACCATTTTTCGGGACTTGGTTTTTTCGACTCAGGGTACCTCAAAACGTGTATTTCCGTTGAAAACTCAGATTCCAAAATTTTCTCGATCGCAATACTTACCCTTACTATATATTACATATATACGTAAGTGAAAGTAAAAATAGGTAGCACTCCAGGGTTTTAGCATGTGAGGGGGTAGAAAAGCATATTTTATTATCTAAACAAGTAAAGATGGACTGACAAATACATGCCTTTTTTTCCCTCATGAATATTTTCAAGTATTTTTCAGCAAAAAAACCAAAGTTTCATTTAAAGTAATACCTTAGGGAATATTTAAAATAAAATAATTTGAATAAATGGCACTTTTAATATGAATTGTTCAGAAATAATATGAATTGAATAAAATTATTTATTCCCAATTAAGGATATCCACTGTCTTCTAATATCATAACTCCTTTCAACTAAAAAATAAACCTACTTTTTAAGGAGATAATTTTTAAGGAGATAATTGCTAAGTGCCAGTTTATGAGACTTATTTTGTATTTGTATTTCAGTTTTGGTAATTAAAATACAAAATAGTTTTAGTATTTTACATTTACAATACTTTTTGAAATACACTGTATTAAAAAAAATACTTGGCATTTCAAAATAATAATTAAAATACTTTTTGTCCAGGTCTGGTTTAAGGGAAGGAAATGTTTCAGTCATTTTCACGGGTATGTCATTTTTCAGTTGCAGAATACTTTAATCCGCGGCCTTATATTGGTCTTCTTTCCATTAACTTAAAAATTGGCGTTTTTAAAAATATTATCCTTTTATTTATTATGTAAAATAATTGGACTAAAGAATGAATTGGAGAATTTACAAATAGCCAAATTGTGCAAAGTGTATCCAGTACAAAATAATATTGCGGTCAACATAGGTCATTTAATTTTAATTTATTATTTTTGTGAACATATCATCATATGGCAGGTTATTTTATTTTGTTACAATTTCACCTAATTACTTATTTATTTTTTCCCATATCATTATATGGCAATCCTTTTAATTGTATGCATTGATTCATCATTAAATATTTTGTATCTGAGACATCCCAGCGATATTTTCAGCCACTTCCAGGACTCTCCGCCTCTCGTCATGTCACTTAATACCAGCGAAGGCAAAAAAAAACATTAGGAACCCAGTATGGCGCTGAGTTAAGAACTACCTCCATGAGGTTCTTCATCCCTTCTTGCGAACCCACGGTTTCATCTCACCAGGTTGTGACGTTGACTTCCCACATCTGAGACATTATCATCCTGCAAGAGGACTCCTGTCAGCTGCACCACAGTGACGTTGACACAAAATATGACTGGTCGGCTGGAGGTTATGTTTTATTTTAATTTATGAACATTTTAAGGTGAGTGGCACCACTTTAACAAACATTCATGACCCCATGGATCTCTAATTTTAATAACTAGGAAATAAAAACATTATCTTATCAATATATACACCTCACAATAAGGCTAAACTGTAACTTCTACACTAAATCATACAATTTTATCTAAGTGTCTCTATAGTGTAGTGGCTAACATCCTAGTCTATAACGATGAAATGGTTCAGGTTTTACCATAATCTATTTTTTCCTTTTATTATATAAAAATATTAATTTAAATTTATATAAAGTTTTCTGTACCACATTTTAAATCAATTCATTTAATTAAACATTTATATTAAATTCATTATTATTAAATAATAATAATTAATTAAATCATGCTCATAGATATTGTAAATTTCATTTATCAATTTGAGATTGTTTTCTTTCTTTGTTTAATGCTTCAAGTCAATTTTGTTTCTCTATTTATTTTATTGTTATTTGTAGTAGGAGAAATATTTTTAATTCATTGTATTTATTTTGCATCAGGTATTATTTCATTTATCATTAATTTCTTCAATGTATATGAATTACTGCTATTTGGCATTTCATTTATAAACATATCTATCCTAATGGATTTCAAAATTTTAACATTTTAAAATTAATTAATTAATAAGGCTACAGTGCCTATGGATTAGGTTGTGCAGAATTGGGAGTTCACATTTTGAGGGCCCGCTGCCGCTACAATAGAGATAACAAGATAGCACAGTAGCAAATAAAATAGTCTTATAAAATTGTTGACTACGTATACTTCCACGAGAAATATCCTAATGAGTTTGAGGTAAGGTAGTGAAAATATATTAACAAAAGAAATTTTTTATTAAAACGATTTCTCCATTCAAATATTGAGTCACAAGAATTACATTAAATATATTATTTACATATCTGTACAATATAACAAATTGTGTTTTTGTAAATGTCTTTTCATATCAACAAGATATCAGGAAAAAAAAATCAATAAAAATATATCAATCTAATAGAGAGAGTAAAAATAAGTTGAAAATTATTTTTACTGCTGATAATTTTTATTCTTTTGAATACAAAAGTGCTTTTTGTAAATATGTGCTGGTTTTCTCTTTTCAGTTCCATTAATTTCACAGATGAAATTTTATATAATGTTAAGCACAGAAATCTACAAAATGTAACTAATAAATATGCAATTAAAGGTAATTCAAATACAATGGATCACAATATTGCTATGATCTATAAACGTAATATAAATAACATTATTAAAATGTACTTAAAACAATAAGAAAATATACAATATATTTTAAATTTACAAATGGTAGAGTATATATAATTGAGTATTTCTTATAGAAAATGTAGCGAATGAAGTTGACTTCTATAAAACTAATAAATTAAACAAATTACAATGTGAAACATTGTACAAAAGAAACTGGTGATTAAACAATTCATTATTGACTAAAAGTAGCCTGAAAATATAACTATCAAGTCTTTTTATTCAACTGAAGAAATATAAATTATAGCATTTAATGGAAAATTGGAAGCCATTAGGATATCAAATATTTATTTATAGAAAAAGTTTGTTTTAATATTGTTCCATGCCTAACTTCATACGACGATTTCCAAACAATACAGAGATCTAACTAAAAATACAAAAAAAAAAAAAAAAAAAATGAAAAGAAATACAAAATCCATTCATAGATGGAACAAATATAATAAAATAATACAAGTCCTTTATGAAAAATGACCACACAAATTTGAAAAATTAAAATTAAAACTTAAATTACAGGCAGTGAATATTTAAAATTTATTCTCGAATTTAATTTTAAAAATAACAGACTATTGTTCAAATTAGTAAAAAAAAAAAAAAAGAAACTATTTACATAGGAACCAAAAAGAATATCTAAAAATAAACTGTTACCTCTGATATATTATATACTTTCACGTAAATAGGATTCTTTATTTTATGTAAAAGATAGGGAACAAATGTAACAGAATATGAATATAATTAATTATCTTTGGATATAAATGTACTTTTTATAAAACATAGATGATAGATATCATCTGTGTTTTGATTGTTTAAATTAGAGAGATATATATAAATAAAATAAGAAATACTGTAAAGAAAAACTTCACAAACTCTTATTTATATATAATGCATATGTAACTTTCTCTTAGATATTATTTTTAGCTTATCCCTAGCACACACTAACAAAGAGCTTCCTTTCATAACGAAGGTAGTGAGGTATTCAAGGTCTCCAAACACAGTAAACAAGAATCTCACATAATTTTTTCGGTAAAACAATAAATAAAAATATATATATAAATTCATAAATACAAATACAGAAAACAAAATTCTTAGCTTTTAACATTCATTTTTGTTGTTTATTCTTTCTTAGGTAATAATCTTTGAAAATATATATATAAATATCTATATATATATTTATTTTTTAAATATGTATATTATTATTCTATGTACAGAAGTTTAATATAAATTATAACAGTTGATGAGAACATCAAGTTGATTGTTGGTCAGAATCTTGATCACTTCATTAAATCAAGATTTTAGATAGCCACAACTTGATTACTGTAAAAAAAATAATAAAATGAAATAAATGATATATTTAAAAAAATGTAGTATATGGATTATGAGTTAGAATAGTTTAGCAATGAAAATATATAGCTTGTGGTACAGACTCTTTTTTTATCAAATTATTAACATCCAGCTCAAAACTACGTAAATAGCTTCATCTCATCATAACCTGCAAATATTTTATTGACAAAAAATATCGGATTCTCAATCTGGAGGTCGGCAAACTTTGTCTACTTAATAAGATACTAAAAACTCGTAAATACCCATTTGCTTTCCACTTGAATCGTAAGATAACTTGAGCACAAAGTCGAGAAAAGACATATCACTCAAAAAAAAAAAAAAAATTGAGCCATTTGGCATGACTTACATCCCCAAATTGTCAAATTAGTAAGGTTATATAGGTCAAATGGCTCAATATTTATGTAGACTCTCTTTTTTATCGATTTTGTGATCAAATTGTCTTACGATCCATATGGTAAGCAAACGGGTATTTACGAGTTTTTAGTACCTAATTAAATAGACAAAGTTTGGCGACCTCCAGATTGAAAACGACCTAATTCCGAGAATTTTCATAAACAAAATATTTGTAGGTTACGATGAGAAAAGAAGTTATTTACGAAGTTTCAGGCGGATGTTAATAATTCGACAAATCGGTCTATACCGCGGATTAATTTAATGCTAAATTAATTTTACACTTTATAAAGCAAATAGATATTACAAAAAAAAAAGGTTTGAATATGGGTGGAAAACATAACAAATAACAATTTTAAATTAATATAATGTTTTTAATTCATTGTAAAAAGAAAAACTAGTTTAGAACAGATATTTGAAAAATAACTATGATAAATAGATGTGAAATTCCAGTCTTCAGATATTTAATTCCGTAATTAGAATAATAAATGTTCAATTTTTTTTTTTTTTTTTTTTTAGCGTTCATTCTTCCTTGTAACATAGAAATTTATATTCTGGCTACTTACTGTTATTATTTCATTAACCCACTCTCTTTTCTTTTGGTTTGCATTATAATTGGATACACTATAAAAGTGATTTGTTAACAGCAAAGAAAATATGCATAAAAAATATATTAACTTAAAATGATTGTAACTCTAATCCAAGTGGAAAGGAATCAAACAACCCTATTTTTCAAAAAATCTTTGTAACTAATAATATAACTTACAAGGGCATCGTCAGACTTTATGCTGCCTCATGTGAAATGCGTTCCGGTCGGAATAGGCGCCTGCGTATAAATCAGATCTGCTGGGAGGTGGTGCTGATGCTTGAAAAGGAAAATAAATATTTTAAATTATATAATCAAGTAGGAATTGAACAATTAAAATTAAATAATAATAAAAATCAAAGATGATGATATTAAGAATAATACATTAAATTAATCAATAGTAATGATAATTAAAGCCTTTTTTCCAAGTTTGTAACTTTAAGGCTTCTTATGGTAAGAGATTTTCATTCATCTTATGGCAAAACTCAGCAGTAGTAAGTAAAGGCTGCCATTTGCATTGATGATAATTTGTAAATCAAGGGACTTCAACAGCTCTGTGTAGGATTTCAAGGATTTCTTATGTTTATTTATAATTTGTATATTTTTTATCTTCATAAATTCAACATAATAAAGTAGACAATTTTGTACATTTTATTATTTATGACAAAAAAAGTTTAGAGATTTTTAGACACGTAAATAACAATATTTATAAAAAGAAAGAGATTCTGGTATTAGCCAAATATAAGTTTAGATTTGAAGATTGTCATATATAGAATAAATAAACCACATTATTGATTATCAAAAAATCTTTGATTTCATTAAGTAAATTTAAGTCCAGAATTAATGATCGTTTCCTAATGCAAGCTTAGGTTTGAGAAAGAGAGCATTGAAAAAGCAACATTATTAATTAATCCTTTACTTATATTTTCTTTCTACACATCTATTTTTTGTATTATGCACAGTCTATTATTGAGTTAGACGTCAAAATTTTACTAAAAGAAAAAAAATTAATAAAGAATTAATGAATTTAGTACATGAATAATATATAAATAGTTAAAAATAAACTGAGTCGATTTTCTAGCATAATTCCTATCTTTTTTCATTTTAATACCCATTTAAAATTATTTTATTTATATTTTTTCTAGAGATTTCTCACTATCCTGGAATCCTGCTTTGAAAAATAATAGGTCAAAAAATGCCCTCAACACGAGTAAAGAATACGATTACAATTACAGCCAGAATTGGCTAAACAATAGGTTTGTTCCAACACCAGCTTTTACTGCCAGGCAAATAGACAGTTGCATGTCCAATATAGTTTTTCTGTTTCGAATCTTGTACTCCACATAGGCCTAAACAGAAAAACACTATTGTGCATGCAACATTCTGACAGTTAGCTGATATGGATGGAAATGTCGAGGAAAAAATTGTTTAAAATGTTTATATATATACTATATATATATATATATATATATATATATATATATATATATATATGCTGTTGTGATAAATCTTTAATACAATACATATATATATCAAAATAGTAATAAGAAACACAAAAGGAAATATTGATATTTTTAATGTTTAAAGAGTAGGAATGTAAATATAAAAATATCAATAGAAATACAGATATTTCGTTCCTTGATGTTTTTGTTCTTTAAAGGGTATAGTTAATACTGACATTAAAATTAAAAATTAATATATTGCTTAACACAAAAATAGTATTAATTCATTAACATTTGTCGATAAAACAAATTAACAATAGAAACCAGACAAAAAGTATTAATAAAGGTAAGGTTTAACTTGTTTTAAAAGTTTTCCTGCATAAAATCCGCATATTTTATGTAAAATACTTTTGAACCGTCATCATAATGAAAGATGACTATGTCTTAGATAACAAAAATAAGAAAATGACGGTTTACTTGACTGAAGACAGACAGACATCCTACCATTGGCAGTGTACTCCCATTTTTAGGACATGTGTCTCCAGGATTTACACACGTAATTATCCCACGTGTTGATACACTAGAATCTTGATTATCTGTCGCCCGATTTACAGTCTTAAGCTAATAAAAAAACACCGCAAATACAATGGTTTATTACAGTTATAATAAAAAATCTGTTATGGACCACTCCCTAACTGTATATACAATTTAATCACATTTTCTTTAATAACCATAAAATGTGCACTGTTCTATTACATCATCTAACGATCGCTGACTGGGTGTTTTTCTAACCCCTCTTCTCCCATGGGCAGAAAATATCTAGTCATATTAACTACAGACAACATCAACACACCACACCACTAGTTCACTTTCAAAAAGTTTGTTTCCATTCATTCTTTTGCTATTGAACTCAAAGTTTTTGCAGTATCTTTTGTTCTAAAAAAAATATCGTTTTCAATATTGGTTTTTTTTTCCAACATCCCGATATTCATAACTCGTGTTGGAACAATCCTATTAATTTAAATCAACCAAGCAATAATAAATGTGCAGAACAGGTAGTTTTCTAAAAAAAATAAAACATGCATAATCCTTTAGAAGGGTAATAAATAAATAAGACCAAATAAAATTGTATAAAAAAGAACACAAATGGAAAATTAATATGAAATATAAATAAAATGAAACCAAAAAGTTAATGATGAGTGATCAGTTACATAATGAATAATATAAGTTGTTTTTGCTCAAAACAATAGTAAAATAATAAAAAATCCGTTTTTTTTTTTAAATTAGTGATTGATTCAAGTATAACTAAAACAGAGACCAGATTAGTATGCTAACTTATATTTAGTAATTTTTTTTAATCAAGCCTTCGAAACTACTGTTTAAACCAATTTTTATTTTGCATATTTGTAAATTAAGTATACATTTGGAAAAACATTGTTTTTACAGATTTATAAAGAAAAATTCAGTCTATGGATCATTACACACTATTGCAGCTCTTTTAATGATTAAATTAAAATTTATATGGAACAGTGTCGGTAGTTAATATTAATGCAAAACTTTTTGAAAAATTGAATAGGTTTTTATATTTATTTTATTAAATAAAATTATCTATATGTCAAGTTACTTTCATGTATTTAAGTATAGTTTGGTTCTTATTAGTTTTTGAAAACATTAATTTTTGTTTTCAGTTCAAATAATAGGCCTGTCGCTTAAAAGAAAAAAGATATTATTTTTTCCCTAAGTAAATGATTCACTCCTTATAATTTAGTAAAACTTTAATTTTTCATTTTACTGTTAGGACTAATAATAATATCATAATCATAATTCATTTTTATCACTTATAAAATAAATCTATATTTGGGTTATTTCATAGCACATAAATTTTTGATATTTACAAGTTTTCGCTTCATGATTTCAGGTTTTTTATTGCATACAAATCCAGCATTTCATCATAAAATATAAAGCATTACTTATATCTAGTGTATATGTATGTATATGTTATAAAAAAGAAAACATGAAAGTTAAAACAATAATAAAATAAATAAATAATAAAAAAAATATATAAAAAAAAGAAAACATACCTTTGGGAGGATAGTAGTGACCGCGACCTTCCCCATAGCCGTGAGCGGGTCCCCTTCTCGGCCCAGCCCTACCTCCGCTAGCGGGCGTCTGTTACCAAACGATCAATCATAGTTTAGTTTAATTATCAATCCCACAAACAATAAAACATATCATAAACTTTATATTCCAAAAACATTATTATTGTAACAAAGTATGGATTATATAGCAATGACAATTTTATTTTTAAATAAACTAATTATTATTTTAAACGCAAAAACTATAATTAGTGAAAGCTTAAAACATAAAAAGATGTTTTATTGTTCGCCTACTTTTAAATATAAGATCATATGTATTAATTAATTGAATACATCCCATTTTTTCAGTTTGAAATAATTATCACAATGAAATGAAATGGTTATAATAAAAGTACAGAAAGAATAATATTTGGAACAAATAACACACCGTTCAGACTAAGATTTAAAAAGAAAAAAAAAAAAATTCAATTTTGAAAAAGAAATCATGTGGTGTAAGGTTATAAATATGGTACATAAATATTGTAGCTTTTACTGTACAAATTCATCCTTTTGCAAATCTAGAAATTTAAAAATATTTTTCTTCTGTTCGTTTATCCTAATTTTGGTGTCTTGAGGTTTTATATTTATATAAATTAGGCCATTTATCACCAAACATTTTATTGATACGTTATTTAATTCTACGTTTCGACCATACTAAGGGTCATTTTCAAGTCCTTGATGAGTCCTCCGTTATATCTTCATCATTAATGTCGCAAATAATATGTTCAGTTAACATTAAATTGTCATGGTCTATACTAATAGTCTAATAGGGACTAATAGTCCCTCCAGAAATGACGTAGGTGAAAACCCTATAGACTTGGACAATTTAATGTTCACTAAACATATTATTTGCGACATTAATGATGAAGATATAACGGAGGACTTATCAAGGACTTGAAAATGATCCTTAGTATGGTCGAAACGTGGAATTAAATAACATATCAATAAAATATTTGGTGATAAATGGCCTAATTTATATAAATATAAAAAATATTTTTGTTGAAGGAAGGTTGGAAATACAAAGTAAAAATAAATTCAATTTATTTTATATATTTTATTTATTTACAGAAAATAAATGTAATTTATTTTTACTTTTTACTTCTAATGTCTGCTATCCCGAACCAACTTCCCTTCAACAACAAAAAATTATCCACCATTAAAAATATTTTTATTTTCTAGAAGTGTTCATAAAAAAAAGAAAAGTTACAAAAGAATTCGGTAAACAGTAATTATGAAAATTGTGTTCAAGGAATGTTTATAGTTGAAGCAATGTTTAAAAAAATAAATAAAAGATTAACTTAAAAAATAAGTACATGATAATCTATTTTATGTTAAAGGAAAAATCTATTAACCTTCATGAACTGGAGAATTCTGCTCAAAACTAAAACATCTAAATCATTTAAATTTTCAAGTCAAAAGGATCTTATACGAAAATTCATTTTTATTGCTTCTATGTTACCTGTAATTATAATTTAAAATCTTGTGTCTCCAATGAATAATTGACTTATGGAACACAAAATGTATGAAAACTAATCTTTAAAAATCAAACTGTATATAATTATTTTAAAAACTAATATAATTAATTAAATAATAACCATTCTCCTGAAAGTGTGGATAGGTCTCCGAAGTGTTTCAGAGAAACGACGAGCAGGAGGCTTCTTTGGATTGGAAGAAGGAGTATGAACAGCGCAGCATTTGATGAAAATACCCATGAAGAAAACAAAGCCGAGACCCATCAGTGCACAGGCCCACCAATATTCCTGTTCAATTAAAAAATAATTGTTATATATAAAACAAAGGCTAACTATATTGTTGGTCCAAAAAAATGAACTAATAATTATCTACACATTGATAATATTCTATTAATTTTGGTTTACGTACAAATAAAAACTATTTATATAGAACTTATAAATAGTTAATTCAAACTTTTAATATTAAATTTATATTTTTTTAAACTAATTTTTTGTTTATTTGTCTGGATACTATAAAAAGTGATTATTTTCCTTTTCCTATCCGGAAATTCGTCTGTCATTACTTGTAGAATGAGCAATATAAAATACTTCTTACATAATAAACTTTAAAATACAAAAACATAATAAATAACGATAAGTCCCAATACTTATTCGTTACATCATAAAATAAATATCTGTGGCTTCGGACAGCTAATTTTTCTCTCTTTCTTTGTGAACTATGGGTTAAAACTCGAAAAATTTAACTTGCACCTTCGAAAATTTCAAACTATCCATTGCGTTTTACTATAAATATTATTTTTAAACTCAATATACTTTGCATATATGCCACAGATATAAATCAGTTCATAGTTTTACTAAAAAAACTATTGCTATCATATATACATATATAGATTATCATGTTATGATTAAAATCAAGATCTTACTTCAGCCCATTGCCGGAGAGTTAATAGATTCTCTTTGTTGAACAGCAAGTTTTTCAACCTTACCAATGGACCTTCAGCATCAACTGCTCTACATTTAAGAAAGACATCACAGTAGCCCTGAAACAACCACAACATCATAATTTCTCAATTTGTTTGAATTTTTTAAGACTAGATTTTTGACAGAATATAACAGAACTTCAAAATGATCCTGTGTCTTAACACTTATATTTCCTCTTTACTCCAAGTATTTCAGCCTATATGGCATTTTCAAGGAAAACATTATTATTACTGAAAACTCATTACATGCTTATTTATCTAATTTTAAATTTCTAATAAAATTTAATATCAAATTAAAAACATATATAGAAATGTACACTTAGGCAAAAAAGCCTGTAAGAAATTTTTATTAGTAACATTAGTAACAAGATTTTCCCATGATAATGACCGAATCGTTAGAGTAAATTGAAAATAGAAGTGTAGACAAAAGGTTTTATGATGTTTTATTACAAATTATAACTTCTTATGGAATAAATTAATTATATTTTAGGAAATAAAATCTGCCTTATTTAGTGAACACAATATCAAGCTTATAATTATTAATTATTTATGAAAATGTTCAGTATATTTAATACAATTTTATTACTTTTGTGGACATCAGCAAGGAAGCCTACAAATTAAAAGATATTTAATCTTAAAGGTTGGTAATATTAAATATGTTTTAATATAAGAGATTCCCATTAAAATGTAAGAGGAATAATTAATTACCTGGAAATTATCACAAGGAGATCCTGGAGTAAGAGATATTCCTCCAGATGGCAAACCCAAGCGGGCAGCAAATTCGGAAGTACTACGACATGTCGTTACGTCAGTGCCATTTTGACAGGCAAGTTCACATAACTGTCGCTTATCAATATTTGGAGAGGCCTGGGAAGTAAGGAAGCATTCGGTCATGTTCCATTCAAGACAAATAGATCCTCTACATTCACCGTTAAGACAGACCTATAAGAGAACAAAATAATGTGAAATAATAAAAAAATATTCTATAATTAATATTAAAACTATTATAATAAGTAATAATGATAATATTATAAACATAAAAACAATGTTGTTGTTTTTTTTATACAGGAATAAATAAAAAGTTATTTTTTAAAAATTGTTTTCAGTGATGAATTTTAAGAAGTGTTATTTAACTTATAATATTTCTTTTAGACTAGCAGATGGAGGGTAATATCGGAAAAATTAAAAAAAAAAAAAATTGTGAATGAAGTTTAAGAATTGTTTGGAACTAATATGAAAAGATGAATAATTAGTGAGTTGGCATTAGATTCGTAAACGGCAATAAGTACCAATGATAGAATTTATTTGTTTATGAATGTAAAGCTTTTTAATAAGCGATTACACAACTAAACGTGTTTTGATGATTTTAATAGAGTCTTTAATTTAATGTAGGCTAAATATTATATTTATAAAAAATAAATCTTCATTTCAATTTCTTAACCTAAGATAAATGAAGTTGCTGTTAATGATTCAAGTAACAAACAGAATATTTTGTATCTTATTTATGTTAATAAACACATTTTCACTTATTCATTCATATGAAGTTAGTGTTAATGACACAAGTACCTGTATATCATCTATCCTTACACATAAAATCAAAAATATGAAAGATAACAACATATCACTAATAAGTTTGGAAGAAGATTGGCATTTTTCTTGAAAATTAGTGAAATGGCTTAATACTGAGTAGGTATCTAAATACTGATGAAACTTTCAAAGATTACATATAAGCTTAAAATAAAGCAATTACTTGTGTTCCTTCATTGCATCTTGTTTTGTTGGCCTTCGGCATCGGGCGTGGACACTGAGCTGTCCTTCCATCGCAGACAGATGACCAAGAGCATTCTGATTCTGGTTTACATTGAATATTATGAGAAGCAGGCACGAACCTACACTGATCACTTAAGCAGCATGGTCCCTGGCTCGGGCTAAAAAATTCAATAATAAAATTATGCTAGAGCAGTGATATTTCAAATAAAAAAACAAAATAAATTAACACAATAAATTTTAGCCTGGATATCAGAATACTGAAACTGGATTTACCTGCACTGTGTATTTGCTCGTCGGGTACAACCCTTAGCAGAAGTATTTCTTCTTTTTTCAGAATCATTTACTAATCTCGGATAGCAACATTTATCACGACATTCCAATTCATCGTAACCACAGTCACATTCTTCACCATCCTCAACAATTTTGTTACCACAGAATGCTCCAGCAGAAGCTGCAAAGGTAATGTGATAAACTTTAATTAAAACAACAAAATGGATTGATGATGAAAAATAAAATTAAAAATCAGGTCTGAAAAAAATATGCCAATTATCAATTCTGTTAATTAATATTTACCTTTAAAACAATTAGCTTTCTTCTCAATTTCAATAGCATCCAAAACTTTGGATATGTTGCCTATACTGCAAGATGAAAATTTACTATTGTTGGGTCTATCACCACTGGTCGCTGATGCAAACATTATGTAATTTCCTTTTAGTCCACCAGGTCTGCATTCTTGGGGATAGTCATGCTAAAAACACAAATTATCACTGTATAATAAAAGTTTATGAAGTTACTCCCTGTACCTGATTGAAAGGTTTAAGTAAAAAAAAAAAAAAAAACCATTATAAACAATATTTTTAATTTTTAACTCGAACTTCATATAGACAATTTGTAGTTAATATAACCTTCTGCAATTTGGCCCATTATAAAATAAAAATAAAAGTAAATTCATCATAATTTAATAAAGTTTAATTGCTTATTGATTTAACATTATCAATATTATTGTTGTAACAATAATATTATTGTTTAATTGTTTTAACAATTTTTTTATTGTTAACTAAAAAACTTTGTGGTTTCTTATGTGAGAAAAAGTTGACCATATCTAACTTAGCTAAGAGCTTCAGAAGTACTCTATTGGACTTGGTTTTAAGATATTTGAGTCTTGACAAAAATGTAAACTGATTTCACATTTATGGCTACTGTAACAATAAAATTATTGATGGAAGTTAGTTGACTGTTATACATGGATGATATATGGATTTTGGAAAAAAAAAATTTTTACTGCGTCCAGACAATTCACCCATTACAACTATAAAAAGAACATAGATAGAAATAAACAATTTAAACTATAAAAGTTCAGAGCTGGAAGTCATTTTTAAAAAGTTTAGACAATTAATACCGGAGATGGGCAAAATCGTAGTCAATGATTATAACTGAAAATAAATCTAAATGACCACACCAATTGTATACTCCATACAATAGCACTGTAAATATAACAAAAGTAAGAAATGATTAGATGATTAAAACTGTAATCATAAACCTGATTACGATTACAGTCGTGTAATCATGTAATCGTAATCACGTAATCAGAACCACTGTAATCATAATAAAAAAATTAAATACACACGATTTTCCTCTGTTTTGAGACAGGCTAAAAGGAAAATGAGTATAAAATTTTTTCTATTTTCTTTTAGCTGTCTAGAGCACTTTCTATGATAATACAGTCAGTTTAACATTTTTCGAATTTTCATTCAATTTTCCTCTTTTATCTCAACAATGAAGTATCAGTTTTTCACCATTCCAACAGTTTTGCGGATATATAGAGGTAGGTAAAAATAGGGAAATGATGTAGAAAATTTTCCGAATTTTCATACGCTTTTCCTTTTTTATTTCGTGAATGAATGCTCGGTTTTTCACCTTTCCAACCATTTTGTAGCTGTTAAGAGGCAAACCAATGGCAACAGGAGTGGTAAAAATTTTCATTCGCTTTTCCTCTTTTATCTTGGCAATGAAGGATCGGTTTTTTACCGTTTTAACAATTTTCTGGGTATGTAGATGAAAATGGTGTAGAAAAATTTCAGAATTTTCATACTCTTTTTCTCTTTTATCTAGTGCATAGAGTCTCGGTTTTTCACCATTCCAACTATTTTACAACTGTTTAGAGGAAGGCCAATGGAAACAGCAGTGGTACAAATTTTCTGAATTTTCATTTGCTTTTCGTCCATCTTTAAATAGAGAAAAATTTTGTGTATTTGATTTTTTTATTATGATTACACGATTATGATTACATGATTACGGTTACAGTGTTTTTGATTACAATGATTATAATTATATAATTACGATTACATAATTATAATCAGAATAAAAAATTGTGATTATGATTACAATCATATAATCAAATAATTGTTCTTTTTTTATTATAATCGTAATCGTAATCATAATCGTTGATTATGATTATGCCCATTTATGATTAATACTAACAATTTTGAAATCAAATAACTCTTTCTTCAACTTCTAAAGCTATCATGAGAATTATTATATATATTGACTTACAGGTGATCCAAAGTTATGCCCAATTTCATGAGCTAAAGTAAGCTGTGAAACTTTTGGAGGGACCCTACTGTTGTAATTAACAAAAGTTATTATGCCAGTGTTAAGGCTCCTTTTGGTAGACTGATATAGGCCACCAACAGTTTCAGTATAAGTTTTATACCTCTCACAAATCCCACCAGAAGCACCTGAAAATGAAATAAAAAAATGTTAATCGTTATGTTAACTCAATCTACAAAAGAAAAATTGAAACAAGAAAAAATTGTAATAAGATTCATCTTAAGATAGATGACCACAGGTTAACTGAAATCAATGAAAATCTCTGTACGCAATTCTGACAAGATAACTAATAAATTAGTTTTTATTTTGATATAGAGTCCAAGAAAAGCTAAACAAGATATTGTTCTTAAAGCTCAAAATATAAAAACATATACCTGACGCAGAAGCTACCCAAGCGAGACCTAATGTTCCTCCATTAAAATCTCTATAAGTGAAGACATATGCAAGACAAAAAGCTTCATGATTTCCTAGCGAATGAAGATTCAGGAAGTTGCTGACATCAATGTTTTCCATACAAAATGGATTTGGTTCACCTCTGTAGTTTGGATTGCAAGGTGCATCATCATCGATCTAAAAATCATTGGAAAAATATAATTTATTAAATAGGATGAAAGTTTTAAATATAAAAAATGGAAATTGAATAATTTAAATACCTTAATCCTTTGAACTTCAAATTTAATGTTTCTATGCTCTATCATTCCATCAAATCTAGTGTCTCTATATATGTAATTCACAGCAGTAACATGATGAGCAATCAGAGACGAAATTTCTTCTCGAGTTTTCTCAGGATCATTGTTTACCTTTGGAAAACATAGAACAATCATATTAAGATAAGGCATAAAAATATAACATATCATTTCTCATGTGAATAATTAGATCTAATTAAAAATTGCAAAGAGTATATCAATTTTTTGCAAATGATTTTTCTTCATGAAGAATATATAAAAATCCTTTTCATACTTCAATTCATTTAATTTTTATCAAAATACCAATTGACAGTGTTTCAAGATTTACTGGACATTTTCAAGTCAAAGATAGATTTTGTAAAAAATACAACAAATATTAACATAAAAACATAATCAACAACCTACAAACATATTAAATATCATATATTAAATATCACTATGCTAATAAAAACATAAGATTATTAATAATCATCATAGATGTATCATAATTATTTTTATCTTAAAAATTAACCATCAGCAAAAAATTAACTTTAAGCAAAACGAATATTGTGATTACTATGTATTCAATAAATGTTACCTGTTCTGAAATATGCCTCCAAATGAGAGGATCAGTTTGAATGAAAAGGGAGCAAGTGTTTCGATTTTCTTCCTTTGGTCTCGCGGCTCTCTTTTTTCTTGTATTAGCTTCTCTACTATATTTGCTGTACGGACTATCATTAAATATATTGTCTTCACTGTTACTAACTAAAGTCTTTTTATGCTTGGAAAGATCATCACTTTTGACAGTCTTTTCACTTTCTTTTTTATTTTTAGTCTCTTTACCAGCATTATATTTCTTTGGTAACTTTCTCTTATCAGTTTCAGGGCTGTCTTCTTCCTCAACAGCTGAGTTTTGTACTCTCTCCATCCATTCACTTGCTTCCGTGTTTACTCCACAGCCTCCCACATGACCACCTTAAATAAAAAGTTTATGTAAATGGAAGTGGAAAATAAAAAACATTTAAGTTAAACGAATAAAATGATAAGTCATGTTGAAAACATCTTGGTTACGTACCTGACCTAACATCCATATAAGGATCTTCAACATCTGATTCCTTATAAATCACAGAATGGAAACTGTTATTTCTGGGGAAATACCTAGATGCTTTCTCTACATAGTAGTTATCATATTTTGATATAATTTTCCCCTCAAAAATTCCATCGTGGAGGGCACCAAAAACTGTGCTTCCAGGTTCACCTTAACAATAACAAACTACATTTATTGTCTAAAAATAACAATTGAATACATTAAACAAAAATTAATCATGCACATTAATGTTATAAAAAAATCATACACAAGTCATCTTGTCTGTCTCAAAGCAGAGATGAGCAAATGCTACTCTGAGTACTAAGTATCAAGTATTGGGAATTCAATCACTACTTAAGTAAATCATTTGACATCAACTGAAGTAGTAATTAAATTCTTTGGTACTCTAAAAAAGTCGGTATTTGAATAAAATACTTGGTAATCAGTACTGAGCAGCATTTACCCATCTCTGTCTCAAAGCAGTTATATTGTTATTAACATCAGTTTCAGCTAATTAGATCCTCATTAAATTATTGACACATATATTAAATTATAGGTAAAATGAATGTATTTTATGACTATCAATATATAATGTATGAAAGTTTTAGTAATATCAAGTCTTCAAGAACAAAACAGTACCATTAAGTTAAAGATAATGAAAAAAAAAGATTAATAGTAAATTTTATGTATTTTTAAATGACTATAAAATAATTCAACCTTTTGGGTAAAATTTCAATTTTGCCTCACGATTTAAGAACTTTACTCTTTACTAAATACGAAATACATGTATTCCATGATACTTAGGTCTCTCAAAATGTCTTGTTCTCACAAATTACTCAAAGCTTATCCTTAATTTAGTACTTGTTATACATTTTATAGCAAGAATTAGATGAATTGATTTAAAAAAAAAATAATTTCCAAGTCAAATAATAATTCTTTAATATAAAATATTTAATCACTTTTTATTTTTAATCATTTTCATAAAATATAGATTTACAAAAATTTAAAAATAAAATCAATTATAGTTGAAGAGAAGAATTGTTAGGATAACCAGTCACAAAAAAAAAAAAAAAAAAAAAAAATTAAGTACATTTATTTTTTATTTTGCTGATATTTCGGCCCAATGTTCAGGCCTTCATCAGGACTGGTCAAACGAATGATGTCACAAAATCAATTATAAATTGATGATGAAGAATTAGTACAAGGGTGTTCTATATATGTTCTAGTCGCTTTTTTAGGAAGTTTGTTTTGTTTTATGATGAAGTACAATGATTAGAGAAATAACAATTATAAATATAATAACAATATAAAATTAAATACCTAGAACATATCCTTGGTATATATGTGAAAGAGATACAGGAACTGGTTTGTTATCAGATCCTACGACTTCTAGATCTTCGGAAGCGAACCCAGATGTGTCTCTTCGAAGCCTTATTCTGAAGTCTCTTCCATGAGCCCTAAATCCTATCTGAATGTGGCTCTTTCCATTGGTGCTTCTTTTCGAGCGTTCATGTTGCGAATGGGCATCAAAACGATTATACGAGGCCTCTTCATAGTGGCGAATATATTCATTCAGTCGATTAGCTAAAATAAAAAAAAAATAAAAGATAATTAGAATCAGAAATAAATTAATTTGAACAAATTATGAAGTGTCTTCAATACTTGAAAATATAAAAATTAAAAAAATGTTACTAAAATAATAGTAAATATTGTTTCAATAATAAAATTAAAAGTGGGTCAGTCATGTTACTAGTTTCAGCAGTTAACAAATATATAAATACTTTTGTTCAGCACCAAATAAAATGATGAGCATAGCTATTTCTACTACAAAATGTTAGCTGAAGGATATATCTTAAGTGGTAATGGAAAAGTTGATATATGCAAAAAATGAGCTCAGAATATTAATATGGATTGTTTATATATTCTTTATTTTCTTCGAAGATAATATTAATTTTTCATAATTAAGTTTTTATTTATTTTTGATGTTTCATGACAGTAATCCCATCTTTAGAAATTTATTATTTTCATAAAATTGTTTTGATTTTCATTTTTATAATCGTATGAATTATTATTCTATTATTTCATTGAAACATTTCTAGGAACATACCTCGGCCATTGGTTCTACTAGTCTAAAACTCTTAACCAGAATATTTAATTAATGAAGTAGATTCTTCACGAAATCAAATTTGTGATAAAATAAATTTATAATTGTATTAGTTTTTTGAGTTAATTGTTTAAGAGATAATTTTTAATTTTGAAGTAAATTTTTGTTATTCAAGAAATCATAATTTTTCATATAATATTAAAGATGGTAATATCCGGACTGGTGTTTTACAAAAACTTCTCAGTTTTGATGGTTTAATAGGTAGGGTTTTTAATCATTAAACAAATTTCGGTTAATTTATTACCGTTTAAAGTAATGAAGGAAAACATGATAAGTTTTGTAACAAACGACAAAAGTTTTAGCATTTTAAATTTCGAAAACTACTTTTTTCTCAAAACTTAATTTATACCAGTTAGAATCCTGTCAAACGAAGCAAGCGACTAATTTAGTAACAAGCGCTTTGTTGCTAACCGACGAAAATCTGACCAATGACCCAGCTTTTGATCAATCGTAGTTGTTGCGTAGGGTAACAGTACATCTCGCACATAAGTCAGGAGTACAAACTCGAATTTCGAAAATGTGGATAAATGATTTTTGGAAGATTTAAAATTCATTTTTAATTTAAATTATAACAATTTTCAACATGATATATATATTATTATATACTTTTATTATCTTGCCAGTTAAATAATAACAACATATTTTCTGGAGACTCCCACAGTGTAGACCCCCTTAATATTTACAGATTAGCATCACGCAAAATAATTTCATAAATCTTGTTTCTTATTGATTAAAAAACAAAATACTTCGTTAATCCTTTTTTAATGGGTATTTATCAAAAATAAAGTAACTGTGGTTTGAATATAGTGATATATATATATACATCATGTAAAATACAAGTAACACGTAAATTGCGTATGTGTTAATTAAGAAAATAAATCAATATTATTTATTTTATAGGGGATATCACACGGAGGGCGAAAGTGATTAAATAAGGGCGTATAGGAGTCGAGTCATAGAAGGACAAGAGCAGACTGAAAAGCCCTCGAATCCCTGAGGATTTGGCATCACATCTCTCGACTGAATACAATTTGACCCAACCTCGTTTTGGGGATTTTCAAGCGACCGCCTCTTATGTCACGAATTCTAACAGGGTTTCAATCTATTTTCGTTTTTAAATGTTGTAAGAAAAACGAACGCTACGATATAGCTATTTTTGTACAAGGATTGATCAAACAATAAATAAAATATCAATAAAAAGAATTTTAAAAACCTATTTAACTATCTAGTAAAATTTAAACTGATCCGCAACCATGATATGATGTGAATGAAAAACATTTTTACGATATAGTTTGAGGTAAAATAATTCCAAATAACGAGCGTCATAGGTCAGGATGGGAAAATAATTTTCTTTTTATATGGAAACTTTTCCAAGATTTTCTAGGTTATGACTGTAAAAATCATGTAATCGATGGTTGTAATTGGACATGACCGAGATACATATATGTATGTGTGTTTACAAAATTTAATTATTTTTCCTCCTCCTAAAATGATATGAGGCAATGAACAACAAATTTAATAATTTCATATGTAAGTTTCTAATCTACTGTTGATGGATGTTTGGTTTTTGGATAAATTTCTAAAAAATTTTAATAATAATATTTTTACACAATTGGTACAAAACTTGACATTTTTAATTCTATAATCCACATAATGAAGGTCTTATAAGAAAACTATATATGTATATACATTTTTTTTCGACATACTTTGTAAGAACTAAACAAAATTAAAACAGTCTCTTAGATACTAGAAAAAAAACGACAAATTTCCTTTTTTTAAAAAGTTTCCTTAATAAATGGTTGTAAATATATATTTGCGGAAAAAAGAATAAATATAAGATTATTGTTTATAAAGAAAAATCGATGAATACGCCACATGTTTGAAATGTCTTATGCATATTATAATATAAGCTCTTTGTGACTAACAATTATTATAAATCATAACAGTGATTTCGCTATCACTTCTCCAAGCTTGTTAAGTTATCTGCCTTCCAATGTTTTTCACAAATTTTCTAAACTTACCCCGATTCCAAAAACTTTACGAATTTTCCAGGTATTCTTGGGCTAATAGACATACTGCGGATTAATCATGAAACATGTAAAACGGGCGATGTCGTATACAACAAAAACTAATTTTTCCTCAAGACGAACTAAAAATAATTTTCCGAAATTCTTAACAGTTACAAGAATAGAATTCCTGAAAACAAATCTGATGTATATTAATAAATTAAGAAAACAAACAAAAGAATTAGATTCTCTAAAATAGAAGAAAAATATCGAGTAGGATATTTCTATAAGAAAAATGCTCCAAGATCAACTGGAAGAGAAATTCTTATTTCTCCAGAGCAATAAATTCATCTGGAGCGTGGAGGAACTTATATTTTGGCCCTTCTCGGTAGGGGACTCACTGGAATTTCCAGGACCTCACTTCCAGCAACGTCAAGATGGCATTTACGACTTTTCGACATCATCGCCAATAATAGGCAACACCAGCCTGCCTAAGTTAAAAATAGGCTTCATGCACACTGCTTTGCTTAATGGTAAATGACGTAAGAGGGGAAGTAAATTTTTAAGTAACGTAATATTTTACTTTTAAAAAAATCTGTAATTCTTATAATATAAGATAAAGTTATGAAGATGAAAGGAGACGGCAAAAGAACAAGTATTACGCTAAAAAAAAAAAAAAAACTCTTATAAATTTAATTTATTAAGAACAACAAAAAGTAATTATCTTTTAATTAATATCTTGTTGGAAGTCATCAGGTTTTTTTTAAGAATTACTTTTTAGTGAGAGTTTATGTATAAGCTTAGTTGTGAGAGAGAAGTGAAAGCCAAGCTGAATTAATATAAGATGAAATTTTATAACCTAAGAAAAGACATCGAGTTTAACGGAAATGTTCGAATTACATGTTAGTTATAAAAGTAATAAATAATTAAAAAAAAAAAAATATATAAGATAAAACTATTACTAGATTTATCAAGATGGATCAGTGGCATTCAAAATTAACACCAAACAAAAGAGAAAAAGTATTGATATGATTTTATTTTTGAGATAAAAAAAATCCCCTAAAGGTCTCCTTGGTATGTGAGGTACCGAGATTTTCATTTTTGAACACTCAAAAAGTAAAATCTTTACCTGATTTACTTCTTTAACTAAATTTTTTGCTTAAATTATATTTCTTGATTTTATTTTAACACATTCCATTTATAAATATAAAAAATGAAAAAAATATATTTTAAATTTATTTAAAAATTTTAAAAACATTTTTCACGTAAATCCATACGTATTTATTAGTGACAAATTGAATGTTTTTTAAAGGAAGGAGATGGTCCGGGTTGGCGGCATAAATAGGCTAAATAGTGGCAAAACTATTTCATTAAAAGTCAACGTTTCGACCCGACTTTGCATGTTTTCTTCAGGGCTAGAACGTACAAGATACAAAAAGATACAGAGAATTGTGGAAGTTACGTAATATTAAGACAAAAAATTATAGACAATGTGAATGAGCTTATTAAAATTATAAACAGTACGTACATTAAAGCATAAACAGATTAAGTTAAGTAACAAGATCCTAAACTGAAGTAAATAGACGGTAACAATTGTTGTAGTGTAATATATAATATATGCAAATGTGAATATACTTCTACAAATTTACAGGAGAGATTGAAAGAAAAGGAAAAAGTATATAATATGAAATAATAGACGTAAAGGAATGTAGAGAAAGAAAAGAAAAAAGAAAACAAAAAAATAATTAAATAAGTATATAAAATTAGAGGAATACAAATAGAGACCTACAGGTGTGTTCAGCTAGGAGTTTCACTTAGAACTGGAAAATCAGGGTAAGGATAAGTATTGGGGAAATTTGCTGACCTGTTTGGGTAATGGGTGAAAATACAATTTCATAACAAACTCAGATGAAAATTATTTGAAAAAACATTATTTTTAATCTTTTAAATAAAATGTGTTTTAGGCAATTATGCTTATTACAATACATCCCATACCACGAAAAAACAAGAAACTAAAGCTTTGCAACAGTTAATTGAAGTAATTTTTTCTGAAAACAAGGTTACTTTAACGTGAGTGGATAGAAAATCACATCATATCTTAGATAAATTGATGTGAATCTCAAAATTTTCCCAAATAAACTTCAACATAACTAATACGAACTTAAACTTTATTGAATGTGGAAGTTTTTCAAACAGTGGGATGAATGTAGTACAGCTGAAGGATGATAAAAAAAAAAAATCACAAATAATTTAGGCCTTATTTTTAAACGAAACTTAGCTGTGTTTGTCCGCCAAATAGTCCTCTTGAAACAGTTTTAACAATGACAAACTCTACTTTCCTCTAAAATAAATTTTGTCTAGTTTACTACGGAGCAATGCATAATTAATTGAATCGAATATTTTTTAAGTTATCGCTACCCATTCAACAAGAAACATGCCTAGCTTAAAAAATCACAAATCTAATATTTCCTATTTTTCTGCTGTAAATTGGACAATTGTTTACATGAACTTTTTTGTAGATGTCTACTATCAACTTTTCAAATATTTCTCTCTATTTATGGGACACTCTGTATAATATTGTTTATTAATATTTTCTCTACCACATCTGTCTATATAAACATAGTTCCATGATTTTCATCTTCATTGTATCTTGTACCTAATCCAATGCAAATTGGACAGAAATGTCTACATTAAAAAAATAATTTTGTGATAATATTTGTTTTATGTTAATCTTGATCAACGTGTGAATCATGTTTCTTATGATTATTATGGCCATCTAATCAATATGTAATATAAAAGAAAGAAAAATCTGGACCTCTTAAAACTCTTGAAGTCTTGGGTTCAGTTCTTGATACGGAAGTGTATCTAAGCCAACAGCGAGAAAATAATCTGGATAGGATCACACACAGGCGCCAGTTTTTTTCCTCCACTTAAGGGTACCCAATTTTTTGAGGCTGGATGTGCCCCAGGAGGGTTAAACCCACCCTAGGAGATAATAGACGTTAATTTATTTAACGGCATATAATTCTTCAGGAAACTGGCCATAAAGAATAATAGCAATGCATTAGTCCCACTAAAAATCATGAAGTACCAAGAGAGCAGGCTTAGGTGTAGTTCATGTTTATCAAACTTGAGCTAATCCATGGGAACATATATGATCAACTACTGGTCTACTTCTGGATACCAATTCTTTATTATTTTTTTGAGGGGGGATGAGTAGATTCGTTACTTATTTAATCACGTAACAAGTCAACTGTTCTTGCAAGCATTGATAAGACTACTTTTTGGATCTGAATGGCTTGCAAAAGCATCTTGCATCGTGTCTTCACTATTCGTAACGAGTAACGTGACCACACTCGAGGTGGATAAAATACACTCCAGGAAATGAAGGATTCCAAGAATCAAGAAATAAGTAACACTCCGTCAACATGAATATTTAATGAAATTGAATCCATGGGGCAGGGGAGCGAGGGAAACCTGTAAAAGAAAATGGCTAACAAGGAAGAGACGAAATATTTATCAAGCCTCATTTAAAGTGTAGGGGCCAAGGAAGGAATGAGAGGGAAATGTTAAAATGAAGCGCCTTCAAAAGGAATAGTAAAGGGACCTTCAGGGCTAGAGCAAGTGAAAATTTTAAAATAAAATATGTGAATATTTTATAAGGTTAATTTTAAGCATCAGTTGAGGCAGTGTTATAATTCAGATTAACAGCTTAAAATATCATTTAAATATGTTTATTTGGAGAGTGGGATAACTAAAGCATTGGATTCCTAACATAGGAGTCGAGGTTGGAATCCGGCGAGGCAGCGAATTTATATATTAATTCAGTAACATCAACCGGATCGCTCAAAGATCAAGAAATTCATCCACGATTTAAGTCAATACTTAGCTCTTCATTAGGTTGAGAGATAAAATGGCTGTTTAATGAGTTCTGACCAAATCACATTCTTATATAACCTTACTTCTTTAACAAGCGCTCTAATCAAGAAATTCTTTATTTTTCTGGAAAATTTCGCACGACAGTTCACTCTACAATAAAAATCAAATTAATACAAATTTTATAATTTTTTTTTCTATGAGATTTTTCTCTTAGAAAATTAATTTCCATGCTGCAGAGTCATTTATACCTTAGTTTTTGAGAACTCTAATAAAAATCCATAGTTCGAACTACTTACTTAACCACAGTTAAAATTTGAGGTACTCATTTGAGTACAATTTAACCTTCTTTAATATCTCAATAGGCAAGTTCTTCGCTTGGATACAACATTGAGGAGTTATACGTGAAAAAAATAGGTTAAAAAAAAATCAAGCTTTATTACCTGTCAAAAGTTCTATCCAGATGTAACGTTTTATTTTTATTTCCTGGTTACCATCTATCTCACGATTTCTGGTATAGGAGGAGGAGGGGGGAAAAGATTCTTTTAGAAGTACAACCAAACCTAATCGAGATTCATTACGTGGGCCTTTCACCAAGGGATACGCAGCTTTCATAATAAGGGAGGGCTAAAGGAAAACCTTAGGTAGATAAATAATTCCAAACTCAATAATATTATATTAAGTAGGTTATTGTTACTACAATTTAAAAATATTTTTATATGAGAGAAAATATTTACATAGAATAAAAATTATTTTTCTTGGATTTTCGACAAACCTTTTTGTAAGCTCATTTTCATATTTTTTATGGAGGGGGGCGCTCTCCCTGCGTACGGCCATGTCCGCCACGAAATAAACTTCAACCCGCTCGAGACGATTAAACCAACGGAGCACGTGCTAGCTTATTTGTTTTTTACATCTTTCATCCCATATATAAAAGTTTAAAAAATAAAAAAACTTTTCCTACATCATTCGCAACAAAATCTCCGTTACTATTCTGATATTCTTTAAACCAACCGCTATTTTTTAAATCAGCGGCTATGGAATGGCTGACAAGATTCATTTTACTTATAACATGCGCTTTCGGAAATAACTTTCAAAGCTCCTCATCAAAACGAATGCCCTTTGTAGGCCCTAGCTTAGTGGTTATTATGATTTGAATATCAAAATAATTATCAATTACTTGGTATTATGTAAAATAAAATATCTCGATTATGGTGAGAAAAATCGCGTAGGGGAGTCGTTCATCGTATGTTGGTCTGGAGGTATAGTTGTATAAATTAGTTACGCTCCTGCATTTAACGATTGGTAAAAGAATTGCAAGTTGAAAGATAACAAAGAGGGGACGTGACCAAGCGGGTCACTGAGTGTGCAAAATAGGCGCTGCCCGGCAACCTCGATAAAACCAAGATTACGAGTTAAAATCACGGTGCCCATGAGGATTTAAACTTTGGCATAGTTTCCCCGCCCTCTCCCCTGACCTGAGAAAAAAAGGGGAAGTGAAAGTAAAAATTATAGACGCTATATTTATTTACATTTCATTGTGGGTATTTTTATTTGCTTAAATAATCTTATATAGACGAATTTT